GACTGGGCAATCGGCTCCCAAATATTTTTTTCTTCAGCCATTTAGGAACCAGTGAGGCCCAGAGCTTAAAGGGTTGCACTTATACTCATAGAATCTGGGGTTACAGTACTTAACCAACGTTCTATTTTGTATAGGCTTCGCCCTTTAAGGCTGTCGCTAGTGGGTTAAAGGTGAAGCAGGATGTAGTCTATGCCTCACTGGGTCCATTCAGACACAAACATGAAGTACCTGCTTGCACAAACAAACATTTCATCACTCAGCCTTCTGTGTGCGTAATTACGCGCTGTGTAAATACGCGCTCCATGTGCAAGAGCGCACTGGAGAAAAGATCTCTGGTGAGAAAAAAGGCTGAGATAGACCTGCTGCTGTGAATAGGAACAACGGAGGTTATGAATTGTAACAGTGTAATGATGAACAGAGCAGGCCAACAGCTCCTCAGGATGAACAGATTAATAACAATAAAATCAGCAGTTCTGAACTTGTGACTGATTATAAATATCTCACACTGCGACTGCATGCAGGCAGGTGTGTGCTCAAAAGTGAGGCTCCATGAAACAAATAATCATCATTCTGTCAGAACCCTGAGAACAGAATGGGTCATGGAGAAAGTAGAAACATCACGTAGATAAAAACGACTAATTGAACATGGCGATGACCAGACAGCCGCCATACAAATATCCTCCACTGTCATCCCTCCATGCAGAGCCGTGGAGGATGAAAACCTTCTGGTGGAATGTGCTCTGAGATTCTCTGGAGGATCCAGTCCAGATGAACTGTAAGCTTCAGAAATAGCCTCACACAACCAGCGTGAGAGGCGCTGGGTGGATAGATGGCGTCCTGAAGAGCTGTCCCTGTAATGCACGAACATACGCTGAGAGCGGCGCAGTGCGGCCGTGTGCGCCACGTAACACAAAAGTGCGCGCACGGGACAGAGGAGTTGCGATGTTGCTTAGGAAGATAAAACCCATCCCAGGTTATCACTCTTGATCTGAATGAGCTTGTGATGCTTTTAGGAGTAAAAGCAGGGTTAGGTCTCAGCACAGCTGAGCTGCTGTCAGCTTGAATTCTGAGACATGAGGGAGCAACAGAGAGAGCAGATAAATCACTCACTCTCTTTGCCAATATCAGAGCTAACAGCAGGGCTGTTTAAAATGACAGAAATTTAAGTGAAACCTGATTTAAAGGCTCGAAAGGTGCTTTGATCAGAGCGTGCAGAACCACCATTATGTCCCACTGTGGAGCTAGTGGACGTGACTGTGTCTGTGTCTCCGTACACCTTTCAGAAAAAAACGCTTCCTCAGCGGGTGATTAAAAACTGTCACTGAAAAAACTCATGACAAGAAGAAATAGCTGCAGCATAAGTTTTAATTGTGCTGAATGCTAAATTTCTGTCCATCAATTGTTGTAGAAATGACAGCACGCCACCTAGTGGACATGAGATGGCCTCCACGCCTTTTTCTGCACTCCAGCACTGAAAAACTGTCCACTTGATATGTACAGCGTTGTGGTGGAAGCAGCTCATGTGCCCTGAATCATACACACCACATCCTGTGGGAGGCCCATCTTTTCTAAATGGATCTGTTCAGCAGCCAGACCCAAAGGTGCTGACATATTTCTGGGCGACTCTTGATCGCTCTTCCTGCCTGGAGGAGCCTGTGTTTCAGAATTAGGGGTACGTGAAATATGCGCCCTTCAGATCTATGGAGGTGAACCAGTCGTTCTGGTGAAGTTCTCCAGCAGCTGTTTGATTGTCAGCATGTGGAATTCTCTCTCCATGATCGATTTGTTGAACATGGACAGGTCGAGAACGGGCATCATCCCTCCGGTTTTTTCGGAACCAGGAAGTAGTGGGAGGAAAAACCTCGTATTTTCCTCTCTGTTGGGAACTCTGGAAATCACGTTTTTCATCAGGAATTCCTAAAATTCGGACTAGAGAGACGAGCTCTGTTCTGGAGAAGACTGAATCGTCTCGTGTGTCATGTTTCTTATGGACGTCAACCAGACTAAAAACCCTTACTGCCATCACCCACTCCGGAGATTCTCTGGGACGGACTCAAGGGGGTGGGGGTGGGGGGTGTTCCGGCAGAAAAAAGGCTGTAAGTGTGCCTCTGTGCTGAGCCCAGGCTGTGGTCTCACGTTAGAGCTGACGTTAACCGACGCACACGGAGAGGAGGCGTGAGCGTTTTCTGAGTGAGACGCCGTTTCGGTGGAGGTTGCAACTGTCGTGGAGAAACACGTTTACTCCCGCTGCGCGGTGAGTGGGCAGAAAACGGCAGAAATTAAAAACTGGCTCTGGCTGAAAGTGAGGGATTTTACCGGACTCGGACTGCTGAAAAAAACAATTTTAGCTGATGTGGCAGACGAGTGTTTTGTGATATTTACCCAACTGTGGTGCCATTTAAAACACTGTTTAGAGGTTATGGACTCGTTCTGTGTGGGGAACGTGTGAGGAGAAGCAGCTGTGAGATCAGTTGATCTGACAGTCAGGCTGGAATCAGATGAAACTTTACTTTCAGAGATGTTTCCGTTTTATTTCAAAACATACATCATCAAAAAACACACACAATCTCCCTCAAGGAGCTGTTCCCTGGTGGAGGGGGCCGGCGAAGGAGCGGGACGTGAAGTTGCTGCCGCAGCTGTGGAACGCCTCTGCTGCTGTTGCTGGCCAAGGTGGTCCCTCCAGTGGCCGGAGGGGCGGGAGGAGGACTGTGATGTCACCAGTTGGTGTACAGTCTCTGAGACCTCCTCGAACTTCTGCGATTTCTCAAGGATGGTCCTGAAGTTGGCCCCGAACAGCACCTCTAGGGTGATGGGGGCCCTCTAGCAGGTCTTTCTGCAGCCTCTCGGACAAGGATGGCAAGAGGCGGAGCCAGGTGGTCCTCTGGATCATGGTCATCCAGGTGGAGATGTGGGACAGGCAGACCACAGAGGTGGTGCACATGTTTAAGATGATGTCAGTGGCTTTACAGAGAGAACTCTTTGTCTCCTCCAGCAGGTCTGCTTCCTCCAGCTTCTTTGAGATGCTGTAGGCCAGCAGGGCGATGTTGTCATTTGCCGTGGCCGCCAGGAATGAGCACTGGTGAGCTCGGTTGGAGAGCTTTGTCACCATCTGGTCATGCTTCCCTGGAGGGACAGGTTGCTGGTCCATCCTGGAAGCTTTTGGCCCAAGTGCCTCCACCAGGCTTGGCTCCGGGGGGAACTGAGGAAAAAACACAGATCGGAAAAACCCTCCACTCTGGAGATGGAGGCGAAGGTGGAGACGGATGTCTTTAACTTGCCGGGCCCAGCTGCAGCCTCGTTCCAGTGCGACATCACAGCTGGACAGCGAGGCAAGATGGGGTCAGGGCAACGAGCCAGGGAGGAGCCAAACCTTCCCGCCAGATCATCCGATCGGGTCAGAGGGAGTCGAGGGACAGAAAGTCCCTTTGTGTTAGCAGCCTCCTGGATTATGATGGGCAGCTCCGAAGGGAGGGCGCCGACAGCTGGGAGCGGTGTGGTCGCCAACGTGGGAAGACCGGAGGTGGCTGAGCATTTGCTCGGCCTCTATTCTTCCGTCACTACGCTCTCCAAGAGGGAAGAGGCAGAAAGGTTGTTTCCAGCATTGCCTTTCTCAGAGGAATCATTCGATTCACTGCGTGACTCTGCGTCAAAGAAAGGCGGTGGCGTCGTCCCGTGCATAGCGTCCTGCTACGGAAAAGACACTCAGCGAAGCTGCTGTCAACAGTCTTTTTTGAAGGAATCATCCGATTCACCGCGAGGAAAAACACGTTTGAAAAGGCGATGACGTCGTCCAGCGGGTAGCGGCCTGCCGCGGAAAAACACTCCTCGGCACTTACCTTGAATAAGGCTGCTCGTCTCTGCTTCTCCTCGGGGAGGAAGAGCTCACAGGGACGGCAGGAGTTCGGCGTGGCGAAGACCCAGGCATCCTTTGCAAAAGTTGTGCCGGTCAAAGCAGGACATCTTTCCCTTCTTCGTTCTTCTGATAGTGCTAGCTAGCTGGCCGAAGAAAAATAGGGAGCTGATTGCCCGGTCTCACCGTAATTTATACCGACCGGGGGTGGGGCCCACACAGACGGTGGGCACGGACTAAAGTTTTCAGTGCTGCGGTGCGTGTGAAGGGATAAACCCACTAGCGATAGCCTTAAAGGGCGAAGCCTATACAAAATAGAACAGAGATTGCAGCAGCCCCCACCTTGCAGCAACTGGCCTGGCTGCCATCATTAGAGACTCAGCAGGCTTCGGAAGTCTGAACTGAGACAATTGAACCAAGCTGAAGCAATTTAATGACACCTGGGGAAAACTATGCAGGTGTTTTGAGTTTAGTAGATGATTAGTGTGTCACACTCAGTTTAAAACATTCATGCCCTGCAAAATTTTGGCTGATTTCTACACAGTATTCTAAATTTTTGAAATCCTGTTTTCGTGGGTTTCATGAGCTGGAAGCCCAAATTATGTAAAAATAAACAAATAAATACTTGAAATTGTTTATATTGTGGGCCCTGAATCTATCATGTATTAAAGATTAATTTTTTTGAATGGAATTATGGAAGTTAAACAACTTTTCCATGATATTCTAATATTTTGGAACAGGTCTGTATTCATTCAGCCTTTATTTAGACAGGTAAATCCCATTGAGCCTCGAGGACTCATTTATAAGAGCGACCTCATTTCAACAAAGAATGATGACAACAATGGACAACATCGGCAACAACAGACAGTTATAAAAAGGCATATAGATTTTTTTTTAAATATATATACATTTATACATGTATACATTTTTTTCTTTTTATATTATACTGTTTTTACTTTTGCTCTGGGAAGCATGTTGTATTTAGGTGCAATCACAATAAAGGTCTATTCTATTCTAAAATGAATTCCTAATAAAACAAAATACAAATAATTAAAACAAACAGCAGTCAGGTGTTGGATAATACCTCAAAAGCAACTTTATTTGAAGTGTTAGAAAATAAATTAGAAAATAAATAAATAGCAGCACAACATAGCAAAAAAAAGCACCAGAATTATTTTCACTGAGTTAGAAAAGTACCTTCAGAAATCAACTCATAATAAAAAAAAAACAACAACATGCACTTGCACAGCTTTTCTTCTCTATACATTACATTTGTTAATAATTAATTATTTAATTAAACTACAAAAAGAAAAAGTAAACATCTTTCTGAATTGAAATTATGTCATCGAGTTTGCTTCTCAATTGAATGCTGCATCCAGGAGTCTTCAACAAAACTGGAAAATAATGACAAAGAGAAAAAAACGGTTTATCAAGGTAAAGATGAAAAAACAAAAATTGTCACATTCCCATGTTTTATCTTGGAGTCTTTCAAAAAAATTTCCTACAGAGGTCAAAGTTTAATGATATTCAAATGCTGAATGTACATTAAAACTAATGCTTCATATACTACAGGCAAGAAGTGCATTTAGCATCAAATCCTTGTGGAATGGGGGCCTTACAAGTTTGAGACCCATTGGATTCAGAGAAGATTTATGCATCTCTGGTCGGTGGCCAGTAGGCTATAATATGTATTTCCAACCACTGCAAAAAAAATAAAAATAATTCAAACTCTACATCCATCCATCCATCCATCCATCCATTTTCTTCTGCTTATCCGGAGTCGGGTCGCGGGGGTAGCAGCCTAAGTAGGGAGGCCCAGACTTCCCTCTCCCCAGCCATTTGGGCCAGCTCTTCCGGGGGAATCCCGAGGCGTTCCCAGGCCAGCCGAGAAATATAGTCCCTCCAGCGTGTCCTGGGTCTTCTTCTGGGCCTCCTTCTGGTGGGACGTGTCCGGAACACCTCACCCAGGAGGCGTCCAGAAGGCATCCTAAACAGATGCCCAAGCCACCTCAACTGGCTCCTCTCGACGTGGAGAAGCAGCGGCTCTACTCTGAGTCCCTCCCAGATGAACGAGCTTCTCACCCTCTCTCTAAGGGAGAGCCCAGACACCCTGCGGATAAAACTCATTTCGGCCGCTTGTATCTGAGATCTCATTCTTTCGGTCACAACCCAAAGCTCGTGACCATAGATGAGGGTAGGAACGTAGATCGATAGGTAAAATGAGAGCTTCGCCTTTTGACTCAGCTCTCTCTTCACCATGACAGACCTTCACCTCACTGCAGATGCTGCACCTATCCGCTTATTGATCTCACGCTCCATTTTTCCCTCATTCATGAACAAGACCCCAAGATACTTGAACTCCTCCACTTGGGGTAGGACCTCCTCCCTGACCCGGAGAGGGCACTCTACCCTTTTCTGGCTCAAGACCATAGCCTCGGATTTGGAGGAACTGATCTTCATCCTGGCCGCTTCGCATTTGGCTGCGAACCGCTCCAGCAAAAGCTGTAGATCACGATCTGATGGAGCCAATAAGACCACATCATCTGCAAAAAGCAGAGATGCAATCCCAAGACCACCAAAACGGATCCCCTCAACACCTTGGCTGCGCCTAGAAATTCTTTCCATAAAAGTTATGAACAGAATCGGTGACAAAGGTCCACCTTGGCGGAGTCCAACTCTCACTGGGAACAAGCCAGACTTACTGCCAGCGATGCGGACCAGGCTCTGACACCGGTCATACAGGGACCCAACAGCCCGTATCAAAGGGCCCGGTACCCCAAACTCCCAGAGTACCCCCCACAGGGTTCCCCGAGGGACGCGGTCGAACGCCTTCTCCAAGTCCACAAAGCACATGTAGACCGGTTGGGCAAACTCCCACGCACCCTCCAGGACCCTGCTGAGTGTAGAGCTGGTCCACTGTTTCACAGCCAGGACAAAAACCGCACTGCTCCTCCTGAATCCGAGGTTCAACTATCCGATGGACCCTCCTCGCCAGAACCCCCGAATAGACCTTACCAGGGAGGCTTAAGAGCGTGATTCCCCTGTAGTTGGAACACACTCTACGGTCTCCCCTTTTAAATAGGGGGACCACCACCCCGGTCTGCCAATCCAGGAGAACTTCCCCCAATGTCCACGCAATATTGCAGAGTCGCGTAAGCCAACACAAACCTACAACATCCAGAGCCTTAAGGAACTCCGGGCGAATCTCATCCACCCCTGGGGCCCTGCCACCGAGGAGCTTTTTAACCACCTCGGTGACCTCAGCACCAGAGATTGGAGGGCCCGACCCAGAGTCCCCAGGCTCTGCTTCCTCAGTGGAAGACGTGCCGGTGGGATTGAGGAGGTCTTCCAAGTATTCCGCCCACTGACCCACAACATCCCGAGTTGAGGTCAGCAGCATACCACTCCCACTATAAACAGTGTTGGTGCCCGAGTTTTTGCCTCAGCAACCACCCGAGCCGCATGCCGCTTGGACTGCCGGTACCCATCAGCTGCTTCCGGGGTCCCACAGGCCAAAAAGGCCCGATAGGACTACTTCTTCAGCCTGACAACATCCCTCACAGACAGTGTCCACCATCGGGTTCGAGGGTTGCCGCCACGACAGGCACCAACAACCATGCGGCCGCAGCTCCGGTAAGCCACCTCGATAATAGAGGCAAGAAACATGGTCCACTCAGACTTAATGTCCCCCACCTCCCTAGGAACAAGTTCAAAGTTCTCCCGGAGGTGGGAGTTAATACTCTGTCTCACAGGAGACTCTGCCAGACGTTCCCAGCAAACCCTCACATTACGTTTGGGTCTGCCAGGTCTGACCGGCATCCTCCCCCACCATCGGGGCCAACTCACCACCAGGTAGTAATCAGTGGACAGCTCCACCCCTCTCTTCACCCGAGTGTCCAAGACATGTGGCCACAGATCAGATGAGACAATGACAAAGTCGATCATCGAACTGCGGCCTAGGGTGTCCTGGTGCCAAGAGCACATATGGACATCCTTATGCTTGATCAAGGTGTTCGTTATTGACAATCCATGACGAGCACAGAAGTCCAACAACAGAACACTACTCTGGTTCAGATCAGGGGGGCCGTTCCTTCCAATCACACCCCTCCAGGTTTCACTGTCATTGCCCACATGAGCATTGAAGTCCCCCAGCAGGACAAGGGAGTCCCCAGGAGGTGCACTTTCCAGTACCCCCTCCAAGGACTCCAAAAAGGGTGGATAATCTGAACTGCCGTTTGGTGCATAAGCACAAACGACAGTCAGAACCCACCCCCCCACACGTAGGCGGAGGGAGGCCACCCTCTCATTCACTGGGGTGAACCCCAACACACAGGCACCAAGTTGGGGGGCAATAAGTATGCCCACTCCTGCTCTGTGCCTCTCACCAGGGGCAACTCCAGAGTGGAAGAGTGTCCAGCCCCTCTCAAGGGAACTGGTTCCAGAGCCAGAGCCATGCGTAGAGGTGAGTCCGACTATTTCTAGCCGGAACCTCTCAGCCTCACACACCAACTCAGGCTCCTTCCCCACCAGTGAGGTGACATTCCACATCCCAATAGCCAGCTTCTGCAGCCGAGGATCAGACCGCCAGGGTCCCCGCCCTTGGCCACCACCCATCCCACATTGCACCCAACCCCTTTGGCCCCTCCCCCAGGTGGTGAGCTCATGGGAAGGGGGACCCACATCTCCTCTTCGGACTGTGCCCGGCCGAGCTCCATGGGTAAAAGCCTGGCCACCAGGCACTCGCCCACGTGCCCCACCTCCAGGCCTGGCTCCAGAGTGGGGCCCCGGTGACCCATGTCCGGGCAAGGGAACATTAACTCCGTTTATTTCTCTCATCATCGGGGTCTCTACATCAAAGATACAATTATTTGATTTGAATGGATGATGAACGCACGCACACACGCACACACGCACACACACATATATTAGTGCTGGTCAAAGATAAAAAAAATTTAATTGTGATTAATCGCAAAATAATTTTTTGATTAATCGTGATTTATCGCATTATTATGTGAAAATTAAATTATAATTCAAAGACGTTTAGATCATTTTTAAAGTACCATATTATATAAGAATATAAGAAAAAATTCTATTAATTTTCAAAACGGCACTTTTTAACAGCAGTGTTCTTTTAGCAAATAAAGTAGCAGTATTTCTAGTAACATTAACATGATCTTTTTTTTTTTTTTCCTGCTATTCTACGGTGGAACCAGACGTGTCCATATTCGCGTTGTATCTTGGTGCAATGCCAATAAAGTTTATTCTGATTATGATCATCATATCAAATAAGAAACCAAAGCTATTTTTTTTCATTCATTCAACCTTTATTTATACAGGTTAATCCCATTGCGTCTCGGAAGTCATTTGCAAGAGAGACCTGAGTTTGCCAGGGTTTTTAGTTTATTTTAGGAAAGAAAAAAAGACCTTCAAACACAAAACAGCAAAAAACAGATTGACATCAAATTCAAAATATGTGCGTTATTTCTGAAAAGTTACAAGAAGAAACATTTTAAAATCAGAGAACATCATGTAGTGAAATGTGGGGGTCAGCCTTTGCTGTTGCTTCACTACTAATTATTTAAATATAATGGGTTCTTTCTTTTTCGAGTTAAATTAATGCCATGTGACCGAGATAACTGTGTTCATTGTTTAATCAGTGACAGGAGACGTTAATTTTCTTTGACCCATCAGAATAAATGCGGTCATTTATTTAACAGAATAAAAAAATTTAACATCAAAACATGTACACTTGATTCGTTGATCTGGTTCTGATTAATAAAACTTGGCACGCTTTACTAATAAGACAACAGGACATTTCTGAAGGCATCTAGAAAGATTTACAAGAGGAAAGATTTTAGAGGAAGATAGAGATGGATGGAAATGTAGGTTTTGTTGACCAGAATTAGCACGCTTCTTTCAACACCAGCTCAAACCTCCGGTACACTTAGCGCGCGACAACTCATTACCTTCGTAGAAGATGAATCAGCTTTGGTACCGGGTCCATTTCAACGCTACCTTTCCAGCGTCTCCGGTTAGAGCGGCTAGTCATTGTCAGAAGTCGTGTCGATTTACTCCATTCAACAAACAGGCTTCCTTCGAAGTTGTAGGCGTTACGCCCGGGTGAGTTCACAGCAAGTATCTGTGACTCCGTCAGAGTTTCCACTCAGAAGTGAAGACTCCAGAAGGCTTGAGAAGACTCCATCAAAGACTGAGTCGAAGACTCGAGAAGACTTGAGAAGACTGAGAAGGCTGAATAGTTCCAGGAAGTGTCGACTTTTAAAGAGTCTTCACTTCCGGTCACTTAATACTTCCTGATTGGTTGAAACAACCAACAGGGGGTGGTTCTAGTGATGTCAGAGGGTTATTAAAATTCAAGAGAGGGTGCAAGAATGTT